ATTTTCAGTACAAATCGGCAATTTCATACTTTAACCCCTATTATTAATTGTATTTGACTTATGCCTATGCCTAAAGATGCCCGAATCTCGTGGCTTGTCACATGCCTGTCTGTTATGATCATACGGCGCACAGCATCGACGTTTTTGTTGTTTACAGCAGTGAACGGGCGATCATCACGAAATTCGTCACTGAGTTCTGCAAACCAGCTATAAATAGTCGTCTTGCATGGTTCTTCATCGCCAAAAGCAATTTGAAGCCGAGCGAAGCTTCGCTGAGCTATTAAATTACACCTAAAGTCGTAGAAAATCATTCTACGAAAATTTTCACGGGTTGAGTGATGTAGACAGCCAATTTCTAAAATGAGGCCACAATGTAAAAACAAATGACAGTCAGATGAAACAAACTGTATTCTACAGCCGAAGAGTTCCATTTTCAAATGTTGTAATTACTTTTTAAATATTGTTTATGTAAGTGGCCAGTTTCGGAAACTTAAAGTAACATGCCAGAATCGTTGACATGACAAATTAGCAATTGAGCCGTTTTTGTTCCAACAATCATCATTATTTTTTTACAAACGTGAGTTACTTTGCTACTTAGATTAACTCTCTTTCATAATTAAAATTGCCTAACATCTTGCTTACCTGGTGAAAATGAATGACTTGTTACGTTAAAAAAATTTTGTAGCAGCAAAGCTTCTTGTGAAGGATTTCATCCAGGGAAATATGGCCACCATACCTATTTCTGCCGCCGAGCAGCAAAGTGCTGGTGAAAGTACAGGCATGGACTACATGGGACTTCATCAACATATGTCGCGGGGTGATGGGCGCAGTGGCAATGCCCCTCAGATATTTGCTATTTAAAACTCTGAATGTTACTGTAACTGTTATGAATAGGCGTGCAGCTTATCACAAAGCGCACAACTCGTTCGTCCCGTCAATTAGTTTCATAAAAATAATGACAACAAAGAAGTTTAGTAAAAAAGTGACCTTAAAGCGACAAGTTTTAAATACTCGAAATGCGTTGATAATTCATTCACTTAAATGTTAAGAGGGAGCAGAGGAAAAATTCCTAATCTTCGATTTGATTTTAGAGGGGTATACACTGTATATTCAAGCATAGACATTAATCAGAAACATAAAACGATAAAGTTTCCTCGATAGATAAAAATCGCCAAATGATCTCTAATTTTCACATTTTTTCGATTTATTCTCGAAATGCTACACGTTATTAGGATAAAAATTAGATAATTAATTATATTTATGCATGATCGAAAACTGTCACTACGGATTTTTTTAATCCCTTTACTTTTAGAGTTATTCCGCTAAAACGAATTTGGTACTTTTAATGCGCAAAATTCGACATCATCTGTCGCATGTCACAAATTTGTGCGGTGTCAACGTCAAAACTTTTTTGGCATCCTCCCTCTTAAAATTCAATTCATTTAAAAACTAAATTAATTACATAATTAAGTCAATCCGCAACGTAGGCTTCGTCAGGAAGACACAAATATAAATCAACAACAGGCTTCGTCACAAAGAAATTAATAATTTGATTCGCTAGACTGAGTCTTCCCACCCTTACCCATATTACCCCATATTACCCTTGTAATAATTTTTAGAACATCATTTTAGAAACCAATTAAGATTTATTTCAGTATACTAGAAAATATTGAAAGAGCGGGTCTTCCTGATACTAGGAAGATCCAATCGTTAACTCTAATTTAAGTTTTTGTGAAAAAAAAAACTGTTTTCATTTTCAAACCATTTTCATTTCCATATTTAACTGTAAGAATGAAACAGGACCGCTCTGAATCGTAGCTGGCTCAAACGTCCCCATAAAACTGGCAGCATTACCGCGTTGAATAGCCAACGAAATTTGTTGCACCTAGTAAGATCGTGCGTGGATCATAGCCTTTTTCTCTAAACCGACGACCCAACTCCCTGATGAGTTCTTTGGCCTCCGCACCCCAAGTCCCCACAGTCTTCACCAGAAAGTGCACAAAATCGTACATCGGCTCCAAGGCACTGTATTTGGCATGTTTCAATTTTGCCGCATACTCTGCATGTGACCCGGCAGATCTGGTGGTAGCGTCCCACAAAAGGCACCGGCTCTTCTGCCACGGAATCAGTGTAAGGCCGTCAGGTCGCTTGCCATCTGTACGGCACAGCCCCGGAGGCTCCAAGACACAGGGCACGTTAGCTGATACTAAAGCCCGGCGAACTAAATCATTTATTGTTTTAAATTTGAGGATTTTAGCTTGAGGAGGAAGTGAAAATGTCACAACTTTTTTTTGGTATTCCCAAAAAGTTGGAATTTTGTGTTGTAGGAGTTGCTTGCTTGGGAGAAATGAAACAATAGTCAGGAACAGAAGTCATGAATTTATTTTCAAATTAGTCTACTATTGTACATTTTATGGTCTCTTAACTTGTAGGTAGTTTAGTGAGTTTACATAGCAGCGACGGTAGCGCCACCATCGTCACGGTGGCGCTGTCGTGATACACTTTACGGCGACAGCCGGCGTCGTACCGGTGCGTATTGGTGTGAGCGCTGGTGTGCGATGGTGCTGATGCGCGCGCTACTCGTACGTCACTTTCATTCTAAAGGTGTGATACGTTAATTTTAATTTGATCGACATTTGTTTCAGTTACTACCATACATCAACGGTTACAACCACATAGCCAAGATCGCAGCGGACACCAACGTCGAGAAGACCTTAGTAAAATCGTGCATTCAGAATTTAGTCTACTACAAAGTGGTGAGTTGATCAAATTTGAACATTTGTCGATTTTAACAAACCTTCATCATATTAAGTTATTGTATTTTTTAGGACTTTAACGTCTGCACGCGTTTGATATTCACTGTGTGTTTTTTTGCTTCCTCAGGTAACATTGATTCCAATGCTAAAGTTTTGTAACATGTACCGAGCAACACCCAAGTTTAGCAGACTGTTTTCTGATCAAGAGTTACAAAAGGCGTGTATTGCTTTCATAACTAAAGGGTTAGAATGTAAAGAAAAGGTATGAAACAAATTAAATAACTTGTCTTAAACCATAATGTTTCTGCTTGAATATAGTGTGAATAATTTGTGTTTTGCAGTCATCTTGTATATTAACGAGTAGGATCTTTTGTGTTGTACACTGGATAGACAAGCGCATATAAAGTCCACTCTGTTAAACAAGAATGGTGTCCTTGTAGTATTAGGTCCTTACCGATGAAATTGCCGTTTTATATAGAGGGAATTGAACAATTTTTTATTTAATGAAAAGTATATATATAATTAATCCAAGTATTGACAATTATTTTCGATGCACTTATGCCATTTCAATGGAAATTCATTGATGCCTCTGCTAACAAAATCCTAGGAACTGGAATCGATGAATTGTTTTTCTCCGCCTCATCGTATTTGCAATTTTTTTCTTATAAAAAATTATTCAATTTCCGAAAAAAATAAAAATCAGTTGGAACAAGCGAGTATGGTGGGCGACGGAGACTTTCCAATCGTAGCTCCTGTAGTTTTGAGAAGGTTTTGAAAGGTTGTCGTGGAGAACGAGTGAACTAGAGCAGTTGACAAGACTCGGTTGTTTGACAGGAAGCATAGCTGTATTATAACTATAATTGTAATTGGAAACTCTTAAATAAAATGAAGGATATCGAACTTCAAACTTCCTATTATTTGCAATCGGCAATTTCGTAGGTAAGGACCTAATATTATGTGCAAATAACGGCCCATTCACGACAATAACTGTGATTGGTTAGCACACAGCATTTCACGTAATATTAAAGGCATTTGATAGGTCCATTTGAATTTTATACTACTTTCGTAACGGAAATAGACAATTAGAGGCTTGTGTGTGGTCCATTTAAATTTTATATTACTTTCGTAAAGGAACTATAGTGTTCAATGCTACTAGCGGAGTAACTCACTTTGACAGCCCAGCATGGCAGAGATCCTGGAGATCCTTTGCGCTCTGCAACAAGGCACGACCTTGAGGGCAGTGTGCGAACGTTTTTCCGGCTTGCCAGGCACCAGCTTCGACATTCGCCGTCTAGTCGTGTTCGCCCAGATGCACGAACTCATCAGGTGCTTGAAAAGGTAGAAACATACAGTGTGCTAACAAATTGTGTACATACACTTTAAGAGCTAAATTCTTACTCATTGTAATCACTTGACAGCTTGTTGTGTCTACGTCAGATATTTGAAAAATGAACATATTAATTTCTAAACATATTTCGAGTTCTTAGGTTTTCGCGATTGTTATACATAGGAATGAAACTATTTTTCCGGATTTAAATC